CCAACCGAACGATTGTGGATGGTCTAAAGAAACGGCTGGGAGAAGCAGGAAGCAAGTGGCTGGAAGAGCTCCCACACATCGTATGGGCATTCCGAGTAACACCCAGGAGGGCTCACGGGGAAACTCCATTCTCCCTAACCTATGGATGTGAAGCAAGGCTGCCCATCGAAGCTGAATTCCCCACGTTTCGGGAGTCAAACTATCAACCCTAGCAGAATGAGGAAGATCACTTGGCCGAACTCAACTTGGTCGAAGAGCGGAGAATGGCCGCGGAAGTCAAAATGAGCACATACCAACAAGTTGTGAAGAAGTACCATGATTACAAGGTTGGGCCGCGGTACTTCCAAGTTGGGGATGAAGTCCTACGAAGAAGGGAAGCAAGCAGACCCGGCGACGGAGGAAAGCTAGCAAAAAATTGGGAAGGCCCATATAGGGTTAGAGCCATCATTCGCCCGGGGACATACCGGTTAGAAACTCTTGAAGGGGTACCGGTAGAAAGAACCTGGAATTCCCATCATCTTCGCAAGTTCTACAAATGATTGTAATACTAGGCAAGGCCTACTTTATTATCAATCAAACCGATGATGTTCAATACTCTATTTGGTAGCGGCAGGATTGATAGGTCGAATCTATCCTAGGAGGGCTTTCTGGGTGGATCGAATCCACTTGGCTAAGCCAACTGAGACACAGGCCCGGACCTGGCACGCTGGTTACTACACCGGTCTTGCTCAGTATAATATAAAAATATCAAAACCCGGAAGAGGGGCCCGGAAGAGGGTATGCCTGCAATAGGGCTGGACCTGGAAGAGGGTTCGAACCGTATTTACACGGGCCCATGAGGTTTGACCGGTGTCGGGGAATCAGCCGGCGCCGTCAAATTGATTGGGGACTAAAAAGATGCCCATTAAAAGAAATAGAAGGGGATCGTCCACCGTGGCGCATCCTGTATCCCCCTTCTCAGGGAAGACTTGAACGGGGGGGTGAGCTAAGGCCTCCCCGGGATGGTAGAAATCAAAGGGCCATTAAAAGACTTAATCACCCGGAAGAGGGGGCCCTGGAAGAAGGGTGCATTTGAACCTTGGAGAGGGTTCGAAACCATTCGACATGGTTAAATCTCCAGTATTCTTACCGGTTAAGGATACTACAAGAATTTCTAGGTTACAGGTGTTTCCATCTACAACCTACCGATAAAAAAAAAAAAAAGTACCCCGGTCGGGTATGGGCACAACAGAACTTCGAAAGTTCTACGTCCGTCGGAAGGCAAGGCAGTTGCCCGGTCAAACCGTGGAGTGGGAATTCAAAAAAGTACCCCGGTCGGGTATGGGCACAACAGAACTTCGAAAGTTCTACGTCCGTCGGAAGGCAAGGCAGTTGCCCGGTCAAACCGTGGAATGGAAATTCTGCCGGTCAAACTTTTAAAGTTGGCCGAAACGGTGAAGACGTCGAAAAGCAAAAATTGAAGTTTAACCGGTCAAAGTTTCTCGGGCTGATCCTTGAAATAAAGTGACCAGAGAGAACTTTGAAGTAATACCGGTCAAAGGAAGTATGGTGATTGATTACTATACCGGTCGGGTATCCTATGATGGCGTTCTAAGAGGCAAAGATCAAAGTATCAATCAACAAGCAAGCAAATATGAAAGATTAACCGGGTAGGGAAATTAAGCATTGCATTAAAGTAGAACAAAATAGTTAAGTGTTTTACAACTACACCGGGCATTCCCGGGGAAATGAGTTTGAAGTTTTGCCAAAATAATTCAACCGGTCGCAGCCAGGAAGATTACTCAAGAGGAAAGGGAGGCACAGGCTCTTCGTCCAGGATGGGGGCCAGACCGTATGATTCAGCATTGAAGTCCGGATCCCGGTCGGCAAGGATCGCATGGGTGGCCTCCCGATCTCATTTTTGGCCGGACATGAAACCGTAGGAGCCGATGTGGGTGATCATCTCTTTCCCTTGCTCCTCCCGGTACAGCAACTTGAAGCCCTCCATTGTCCTTTCCTCAGAGGAAGTAAGCACCCGGGCGGCCTCCACCAGGTTCTCCTCCATCCACTGTCTAGCCCGACCGGGCAGCTCTTGCTCCTTCACCCACGCCTCCTCCTTCAGGTGGGAGACCTCCCCCATCAGCAGCGAGTTCTCCTGCTTCAGCTGGAGGACCTCCGCGTTCGCCCTACCGGCAACCGCCGAGAGGTTGGCCATCTCGTCAAGTTGCCGGGCGGTCAGGTCTTGAAGCTCCCGGTTGTGGGCTTCAAGCCTCTTCAGCTTTTCCTCCAGCTGAAGTGACCGGGAAGGGGAGTCCTCGGCAAGCTTCCCCAAGGTTTCAGGCCCGACCTCACCCATCTGCAAAACCAAACATACCGGTTAGTACGGCAAATAAGTAATAAAACAGAGGAAAGTGTACCGGGCGGATGTTACCTCTTTTAGCTTTCGCCCCATCTTGACCCAGAGCTCCTCTAGCGACTCTGTGGCCGGGACACTTTCTCCCCTCCTCCTCTTTGCCGAGGGGTGGGTAGTGGCGGCGTGCTTGGTTCGGACCTTCCCCTTCCCTTTGTCTAGGGGAGGGTTTACTGTGGTCCTCCCGGCCTGACCGGTCGGAGGAGTTTCCTCCTCGGAGTTGATCTCCACCGGCTCCTGTTGCACCGGTACGGTTCTTGGGGCAGCAGAGGAGGAGCCACCGGTCTTCTTGGTGGGGATGTTGAATGCTCTGAAGTTCATCTCTGCAAAACAAGCGAAAATATTAATCAAGCATGGACCGGTATATAGAAAGAAAGGAGGAAGAAGAGGAAAGGGGGATATCTGGGTGACTGGAACCCCCAGCTTCCGCAGTGTTGCCCGGGGCGGGTACCCCGTGCCCCGCTGCTTCATCAGCCCGGGGGGTACCCATGCCACCCGGTGAGATCCTCCAAATCCAGGCCCCGTAATGGAACATTTGCCCAGTGAACGGGTCCCCTTGTAAGAGTTTCTCCAAACTTTCTTCCAAGTCTGGAGCGTTAGCCGGCTCAGTGTATTGCGGTTTCAAAAGGTGGTCGCTCCACTTTATGCCGGCCAGAGGGGAAACGGTGGGGAATTTTATAAAGACAAATTTTTTCCTTCCACAGCCGGTTGCTTTGTGGAAGGTCAGAAATGAATTGGCGACCGTTACGGCCCTTGAAATAGACATAGCCGTCGCAACCCGACTTACCGGGAAGGACTTCAAACAAATAGAGGAAAAAGCGAAGAGAAGGGTCGATTTTGAGATGGGAACAGATATTTACAAAAGCGTTAAGAAAACGGTGGGCATTGGGCGTAAGTTGCCCGGGGAGGATCTTGAAGCAATGGCACAGCTCGACCAG